TGGAGATTAACCCAGGGTGGAACGCCCTCTTATTTAATTTGTTAATTTATCATCAAAGTGATCAATGCGGAAATGATGGTAGTTGCAATGGCTTCGGATGAGTTTTATTAGGTTGTAATACAATCCTAGGTATTTACAAAAGACTGTCATTTGATCCAATGATCAACAGATATTTTTAAAACAGTGTTGAACATTGTCTTGTTAGCTCTATCAGGGTTTTTTTTTAAGGTAAAAATGGGTTTTCAAAAAAGTACATGTAATTTTGTTTTTTGTACTGCAGTAAAAAGTTATCATTTAAATAAAAATTTCAGATTTATAATGAAACAATTTTCCTTTTTTTCTTCTATTTTCAATACATTGTGATTGTCAAATTGGAGAACAACTTGAAATTAAATTAAATTCATGGTCAGGTGCATTCAAAGTTTCATAGCTGAACATTAATCTTTATCTTAAAAAGTTTTTTGTAGACTAAGCAAATATCAAATTATCATTTCAGAAATACATTGAGCTTGGAGCGCTGCGTCTCTTACTAACATTTAACAGTTACTTTTTGGTGTAGCTTGCAGTAGGGTCTGGTTATATTTTCTGCTTTTTTCGTTTGTTCTTTGGATGGTTTCATTGTTTTCAAGTATTCAGGATATGGTGTTCTGCATTCAGAGGAATCTTTATATGTAATTCTGAAATGAAATATATTTGATATTTAACAGTCATTTATATAAAAAAAAAAGCAATGTTAGAGCTGCTTTGAACTTTGAATCTGTACAATAGTTAAACTTTTTCTAATTCTCAAAATTTTGTTAAAAGCAAATATCTAAATTGTACTTGATATATTATGATGCATTGGAAATGGAAAAAATAAATATATTTGTATATTAGATTGAATTCAAGTATAGTGAAAAATTATCCAAAAAAGTGATATTTACTCTAGCTATTTCAAAATTATTTCTGGGTATCTGCTTCTTCAAAGCACTGATTGTTAACAGGGTAGTTGTGAAGTAAAAGTAACATTTATAAATTAAAATCTAATTGGATGTATCTCTTATCTAAATTCAATCACTTAATGCTTTGACCAAAAGGGAAGTACCGTTATTTTAATAATTTCCACAAATAACCTCATTCTTAGTTATCTGAAACTATCATCATCTCCCAGAGTTATTTCAAGTAATCATTCCTAATAGCATACAGTAGGAATATCTCTTTTTTGCTTCAAATATCTCAACCTTGGGTTGATTTTCAACTCTCACCTCCAACACTAGGCTTTCATTTAGATATTGAATATTATTTCAATTACATGAATTCATCATTTTGACCAATTTTCGATACAAGTCTATAAAAATTTATTTTGTCAAAAACTTAAATTTTGTGGTTCACCTGAATCCACAAATAAAAATAGTAACCCGGGAATAATAATGAATCCACAGTATTCTCTTTTTGATAACAACATACTTGTAATCAAATTTCATCAAGATACAAATGTTGTATAATTTTTCCTTTATTTCTTTGCTTTTTCTTTACACAAGCTGTAAACTAGTACTACGTAGTAAGGGAGATAACTTGCTTCAGTTTTGATTTTTATCAAATTCAAGATTCTAAAAATGAGTTTTGGGAATTTTTTATGTCTTCTTTGTCCATTTGACATCAGATTTTACTAAAATCATTGTAATTTTATTCAGTTTAAAAATACTTAGTAACTTTTTCATTTATATATACTGTTAATTCAGAAATTATTGCGATGTTTTTATTATTGCGAAAAATGCGACAGGGTTATATTCGCAATAATTTAAAATCGCATTTTGAAATTTTTTATATGAATTAAACAGGATTTTTCTCAATATCGCAAAAATTAAAAACGCATTTTACTCCAAAATGACAAAATCGCAATAATAAATGCACGCAATAATTTCTGAATTTACAGTATCAGAACATAATTGAAAACTTGTTTTAATTTGACTTTTTCATCGCATTTAGCAATTGCTCATCATGATTTGTAGACAAGATTTGTAAAGTTTGGACTTTGATCCTTTTTGAAATCATTGATTTTTCAAAAAAATGTTTCCTTGCTAATCCAACAGGAATCTGAGGGCTTTACTTTTAAGGGCAAACGATACAGTTTTGATCCCATGATGAAATTTTAATGAAAATTTGCATATAGGCTATTTTTTACCTGATTTAATCAAATATGTAATAAAACATATACCTTCATGTGCTACTTTTTGAGTAAATTGAGGTCGAAATTTCAGATATTTGCTCAAAATTCGGATTTGTGGACATATTTTTCCTTTCGACAGGATTCATAACTTTTTTGTTTTTAAAGATAAACACAAGCTGTTTTTTGTTAAATTATTTGTAAATTCTGTTTTATATAAATGTCCTATAAATTTGTGCATTTTATTTTTCAAATAACTCATATTTATCAAATGTTCATGAATGTAGAAAAAACCGTCAATTTTTGCTGTATATTTATCAAATTTAAAGAAATTGCATTATTGACTTTTTCATGAAAGTTGGTACACATAATCTTCATACAATATCAAACCAAATGTCATTTTAAAAAAGAGGGGTCCATGAACTCGTTTTTAAGATAAATCAGTTTGAATGATAACAAACAGTCGAAAACTGCATCTTTTCCCGATAAGTCGCAGTTTGACGTCGTGAAAATAACAATTTACGTTAGCAACGTCATTACCTCCCCTGTAACTGTATCGTATGCCCTTAAAGGGAATCCTACTTTAGCCTCATTAGTTCAAAGTAGTTTCCCATTAGTTCACAGTAGTCCTTGAACTGCTTTCATTATAACAGTGGTCATATTCAGGACTCCCAACAATTTTCAAGAATTACATACAATCAGTTGTATTACCCAAGCAGTTTTAAATTCAAATCAGACCCTGTTCCAGACTATGGGGGTTTTAATAATTGCTTTTTAATCACTTAATGACTTTACAGAAAACCTATTTTAGGTTTGGGATCTGTTTCCTCTCCCAATAGCCAAAAAGAGCTGTTTCCTGTAAGTCTGTATATTGACTGCAGCTGGTTCTGTTTTGACTGTTAACATTTAAGGAACCAGTGGTTCCCAAGAGTTACAACATGTCAGTCCATCTCTATTAATGTCAAGATATAAGTGATTTTCCTTCTTTTCCAAATGAAGTCATTGGAAGCAGCCTTATGAAAAAAAAATGTTTGATACCACCAATCAATATGCTATCAACTTAATTTGGGAACAAAAAAAATACTTTTTGAATTGTAAATTTTGGAACTATTTTTCTTTTAAGTATTATAGTTTGAAAAACTAAATTATTGAAGTATCACATGGAATTTGAATTTTGACAATTTTTTTTTATTATAAAGATGTATTTTTATCATTTCTTTGGGTTCACAATTTTCTTACTAAATTTTGTCCTAAATTTAACGATTTCATGCTACATAGTACCATTTGCATCATATTTGTATTTTTTTTATTTCAGTGTTTCTTGTACCACCAAACTTCACAGACAGATTGCACACATGTTGAAGTTTTGTACCTGCTAGTATGGAAGTGCTTGAGGAATTTTTCCCACTATTCCAAAATTTATGAACTTAATAATTTTTTATCAAAATTTACAAAGATGGTACCAATTTAGTGTGATCAACTCCTGCAGTTTTCAATCTAGGTCTTTGAAACTTCACACAATGATTGCACAAATATTTAAGTTGTGCACTTGTTACTGTGGAATTGTTTGATAATTTTTTCCCATTTTTCCCAACTTGGAACTTTTTAACGTCTAAAAATTTCAAAAGAAGGTAACAATTTTTGTTTTTAACCCATATCTTTGGAACTTCACAGAGAGTTGCAAATCGATTGAGGTTGATCATCATCCCCCATTTTTACATTTTATATTTCCATATATTTAAATTTTAGTATAGACATGATTAGTAAACCTTAAAAAAAGGGATATTTTATTAAACTATGCTTCAATATATTAAAAAAAAGTTGATTTATAGGTGTAAGGAATTACTATGCTGTCTTTTTTTATTACATATCAGATGTCTGCTAACTAATATAAAAGCTATTATTTAGAGCTCGGTAAATAAAAAAATTGTAAACATAGATTTAAATAATACTTTTAATGGGAAAGAGAGATTGTGGGGTACCAAAAACATTTGGTAAATTTTCAAAATACACAGTTACCTGATTAAAAGCACATCTGGTATTTTTACAATATTTTATAAATGAATTTAATAAATTATTTGTATTTTTTATATTGAGAATTACTCCAGTAGTCATGATTGATAAAAAATATGCCATGAGACGCTTTGGAACAATCTTGGGAAAATTGTATATTTGATTAGATACAATGGAAAGGACATTTCATTGAGTGGATAAAATGGATTCAGTGATCTGATCAGCACAAAGACCTATGTCGAAACGCATATAAATGTAGCCATGGTAGCAGCTCCAAGGAAGATGGTTAAATAAATCTTCAACCAAGTCTGAGGCATTACCAAGAAAATAATAAGGCAAGATTATTTAAGCCAAACAATTTCTATACATTCTGTAAATAATTTGATAAAAAGTGTATATAAGACAACACACATCACCCCTCTTATCTTATATGCATTCATAACACCATTGACGAACTAATTAACTAGTTTATAATTTAAGACATCAGGTACATGAACAAGATTTTCTATTTAAATAACAATATTTAATCCTGAAATAGTACAACTTCAAGGGGAGACTTTTACAATGAACAGCAAGATTTTTTCATTCATTGTAAAATATGCAGATGATTTGTCTTTTTGAACAATAAAATATGTTTAAACTAGATGATTTTTGTTTAGTTGAAATTCAAATCATAAACTTACAAGACTTGATTTTTTGTTTTTCCATCATTTATATTAATTTTACAAACTGTTGTTGATGTTATACTATTGTGTACATTTAGTAAGAAATCAGAACAAAATTTAGTAAATGTCGGAGAAAGGGAATTGTAAAATATATAAATTGTCAATTTTAATATTTTAGGTTCTTTCTGCGAGATGATTTCATGGTATGGGAATAAGACTTGGTGGTCTAATACAGCTAATATGTAGGTAGGTACTTGTATGTTGTTTTGAAAAAAATAAATGTATTATAAAAATTATTTAGAAATATTATGTGCTCTAGGCTTGAAAATTTGGTCAGAAGTCTACTCTCTCTTTTATCAGTAAAAATATATGTGTTAATCTAAGGATCTAACTTGATTATTTAGTTTTTTTTGGTTGTTGGATTGCTGTCTAATCAATATGTTTTCAACATCTATTACATGTATATAACCCATTTCTATATAATTTACATACAGTATACCAACAGTGATCCTTTTAAACAATTTTGGTATGACTTAGCATTTTATATTTCAGGTTAGCATCACAGCTTGTCCATAAGGATTAAGGCTGAAAATGGCCATTGGAGCTGACTTTTATGGTAAGAACTAATACATAGATTTCTGAATTATTCAGCCAAGAGCATGTAAGTACCCTAGATTTTTGTTATGCAGAGAAGTAGATCTTACATTTTTTTCCCCTGAAATCATAACTGTATATATAATCTGGAAGGAGGTACTGTAAATTCAGAAATTATTGAGAGGTTTTTATTAATGCGAATAATGCGACTAGATGAGTATCGCAATAATAAGAACTCGCATTTTGATAACTAAAACATAGATATGTATGTAGATTATTCTGAAATCGCAATAATTAAACTCGCATTCTTGTCAATTTTTGAAAAATCGCAATAATAAATGCACAATAATTTCTGAATTTACAGTATCAAGTTAAATAAGGGAAATAAAAAATTATACCATTTTTTAGAAAATCTTGCTATCTGTTTTTAGTTGTCTAAAATTGACCCCATATATAAAATAAATGAGATGTGGTATGATTGCCAATGAGATAACTATCAACCAGAGACCAAATGACAGAGATGTAAGCAACTAAAGGTCAGTATGGCCCTCAACAATGATCAAAACCTATACCTTACCGTTAACTATAAAAGTTGCCAACATGACAAAATGTGAAGCAATTCAAACGAGAAAACTACAGCCTGATTTATGATGAAACAATGAAATAATAACAAATATGTCGGACATCAACCAACTACTTGTTTGTCATCCCGGTAGTTTAAAATTTATGTCAACACATCACATTAAAACAAAGTAAAAGAAATGTTATATGCGTCATAAGTGTAATGCACAGTTAAATATTCCTTTGCAATAAATATTGTTTTGACAGATATGTTTAAGAATGTATATTTCTTTTTCAGGTAACTTCAACTGTGGCTGATTAAAATTATGGTGCGATGTAACTGAAACAGTAAAGAATGTAATTCAGACAATTTTTGTGTATGTTTTAAAAAATGTTCATAATTTTTTTACAAAAAAAATAATGTGTAAGGATTCTCCATTTTCAACATGATTGGAAGTTGTAGGCAAACTTGATAGTTCAGATCCTATTGATTATTTTTTCCCCCTGTGACTAGATTTAATTGATACTTTGAAAATGAAAGGAAACGGACAATTTGACAATTTTACTTGTAGTCCTACTTAAGATATCTTAATAGTGGTCCATGTGTAGTCAAAACATTTCCAATAGGTTTAGAATGGAGAATCTAAAAAAAAAAAAAAGAAAAAAGAAAACAAAATGTTATTTTATTGAAATGTATTTTTTGGGTTTCCTGAATTGTTAGATTTTTTTCCAACTTTTTGTTATTTTTAGCAGTGTTTTTAGCTAAAAAAAAAATAAAGATTATTTCACAAGAAGCATAGTAAAGAAACATCTTGGTGAAAAAAGGATTGATTGATTTTTGGTGTTAAATGCCACTTTTAGGAAGATTGGTGGCCATTTTTGTATAGGTTGAGGAAGTCGGAGTAATGGGAGAAAACCACCTAGGCCTCTAGGTGAAAATTAATATACTAAATATGTTATTAAAATGTTTTGGATTTTTTATATCAAATTATTTTTTAAATTTAGTTATACCATTTTTGTTTTTTTGTTAAATATAGCAATGATGTGGAGTCCCAACAGGGTGAAATTTAGGGCAAAGGGAGGTAATTTATTATACCCCTGTTGAACTCCTCATTCTTGAAATTTCCTCAATGTTAGGGAATGTATAACTTTATTTACTTGAATTTCACATTTGTATAAGTTTTTGCATTAATATCAGATGTATACTAGCTAATATTGACTGTTATTTAGAGCTCTGTGAATAAAAAATGTAAACAGAGCTCTAGATAATAGATATGAAGGGTGGGAGAAATCATGGGTCACTTCGGGTAGAAGTGATTTGGTGAAATTTTCAAAATAGGTGATTAATTGAAAGTGCATCTGATATTTTTTATATATATAACTTTATTTCTATAAACAAATGGACCAAAAAAAAATAGATTGACAATAAGATGATGATAGCCACCCTGGCCGCCAGGAGAGCGAAAAAAAAATAGATTGACAATAAGATGACAGCCACCCTGGCCACCAGGAGAGCAGCTCCAAGGAAGATGGTCAATTAAATCTTCAACCAAGTTTGAGGCCTTACCATGAAAAATAAGAAGGCAAGTTTATTTAAGCCAAACAATTTCTAGACATTTTTCTAGAAATGTTTGATAAAAAGTGCATATTAAGACAACACACAACATCCTTATCTTCTGCATGAAAAACAACTTTGAAGAATTTATTAACCAGTCTAATATTTTGAGATACCAGGTACATTAACAAGAATTTCTTTTACAATAATAGTAAATCCTGAGATATGAATTAAATTTCAAGGGGAGACTAGTACAATTAACAGCAAGATTTGTTCTTTCAATGGGAGACAACTCATTGTAAAATATTCAAATTAGTTGTGTGCAGTTGAAATTCAAATCATTAACCTTTTGACTATTTTTTTTGTTTTTCAATCTTTTATCTAAATTTTACAAAATGGTGTTGATGTTATACTATATATTGGTACATGAAGTAAGAAATCAGAACAATTTTTAAAGTAAATTTTAGGTTGACAAATAGATCTGTAAAATAAATATATATATTAATTTCTTTTTAGGTACTTTCTGTGACACGTTTTCATGGTGTGGGAATAAGACTTGGTGGTCTAATACAGCTAATATGAAGGTAGGTACCAGTATGTTAATCCTGTTTTGAAAAAAAATATGTATTAATAAAATTATTTTGAAATAAATACAGACTGTAGGCTTAAAGGTTTATAAGAGTTTGGTCAAAAGTATACTCTTTATTTTATCAGTACCATTATGAGTAAAGAACACGGTTCACTTGGCAAAATATGGCCTTGAATTTCAACTTTTATCATAAAATATCAAAAAGGCCCCAATCTGGTTCTTAAATGGGTATATTTCAAGAGTTTTAATGCTAGATAAAATAAATCTCTTCTTAATAATACACTTTAGACTCCATGATTAGATCTTTTTGAAGATATTATCAAAATGCTATGATTTTGTGCATTTTTCGGACCTAAAAGCTTTAAGATTACCTTGGCCGCAATCTATGATCCAAAATGTTAGTAACCAAAAGGTGCCAAGGGTAATATTTAAATTACAAGACACAAAACATTTCTGAATCAGGGAAAGTGAATTGTGCTAAAAGCTGCTGTTATTAATTGTGGAAAAATTGGACCTTAACTGACGTTATAACACACAAGTAATGCATAATCAAAGGGTCATAACTTCGTAATTTATATTGAGGTGCCAAAAAGACGTTATTTTGTATTAATAGTGATACCACAACAATTTTTATGTCACATTTGTAGTATTTGGGCCTGATTTAAAAACCTTTCAAATCTTAGGGCCAATTTTAGCCCTCCTTGAACCTACCCCTGCCAGGATCTGAATGGATTACGTTAAAGTTTGTTGGGTTGTTGGATTGATGTCTAATCGATATGTTCTCAAAACCTATTACACATATATAACCCATTTCTATATAAAATAGAGTATACCAAAAGTGATCCTTAAACATAATTTTGAATGACTAAGCATTTTATATTTTAGGTTAGCACCACAGCTTGTCTGTAAGGATTGAGGCTGGGAAGGGCCATTGGAGCTAAATTTTATGGTAAGAACTAAAAAATAAGATTGATGAACTGTTCATCTAAAAGCATGTAAATGTCCTATGGTTTTTATTATGTACATATGTAGATCTAACATTTTAATGTTTTTCTAAATTAATAGTTTTATATTTAATCTGGAAGGGGTAGCAAGATGAATAAGGGAAGTCAAAATTTATAATTTCATAAATCTTATTTTCTCTGTTTTCTGTTATCTTAAGTTGTCCCAGTATATAAAAATAAGATGTGATATGATTGCCAACTACACAACTATCAATGAGAGACCAAATGATGTAGATGTATGCAACTTAAGGTCACCATAGGACCTTCAGCAATGAGCAAAACCTATACTACTGTAAATTCAGAAATTATTGCAAGGTTTTTATTTATGTAATTAATGCGACTGGTAGAATATAGCAATAATAAGAACTCATATTCTTATATCTGATGCATAATTTCGTATGCAGATTTTCCTGACATCGCAATAATTAATCTTGCATATTGGTCCATTCTTCAAAAATTGCAAGAATAAATGCATGCAATAGTTTCTGATTTTACAGTACCAGTATATAGTAAGCTATAAAAGGCCCTGACGACAAAATGTGAAAAAATTTCAAACAAGAAAACCAACGCATTGATTTATGAAAAAGAATAAGCGAAAAAAAATAAACATGACGCACATCAACCATTGATTAGTTTTTCATCCTTATTTGCTAATAAAGACTTATAGTTTAAAATTTATGGCAACAAACTACTTTACAACAAAGTAATTGAAATGTTATATGCATTTTAATTGTATTAAATATTGTTTAAATTTTTATATAGTTTTGACCCTATGTTTTGACAGATATGTTTAAGAATGTATATTTATGTTTAAGAATGTATATTTCTTTTTCAGGTAACTTTAACTGTGGCTGCAGCATAAAATGATTATGTGATATAACTATAAACAGTAAAGAATGTAATTCAGACAATTTTTGTGTATGTTTGAGAAAATGTATTTTTTTACAAAAAAAAAAAAACAAAAAAAATGTAAAGATTATCCATTTTTAACAAGATTGGAAGTTGTAGGTTAACTTGTATTTGAAATTTCAAAATTTCTCTTTCTTTTTTTTATTAAAACCTATGGCTATATTCTGGTACATCTCAACTCATGTCCATTATTGCCTTGACACTTTTTTTGTCATGCTTATGTATACTGAACTGGATTTTGATATGTTGTTTCATAGTTCAGATCTTATTCATTATTTTTTTTCCCTGTGACTCGATTTCATTTGTACTGACCAATTTTACAATTTTACTTGTAAAACTACTTAAGATATCTTAATAATGATCTTTGTCTAGTCAAAACGCTTCCAGTTGGTTTAGAATGGAGAATCTAAAAAAAGAAAATAAGAAAAACAAAGAAAAAAAAAGAAAAAAATGTATTTTATTGAAATGTGTTTTTGGGGTTTCCTGAATTGTAAGATATATATTTTTCTATACTGTGGATTAATTTATTTTCGTGGGTACCAATTTTCGTGGATTAAGGAAAACTTACATGTTGGTGGATATCTAATTTCATGGTTTTACCGAAGTCTACTTACAAGCCTATAGAAATTTTGTTATTCGTTGAATATTTAATTTCGTGGTTCACCTGAAACCACTAAATCCACGAAAATTGGTATCCAACGAATAATAATGAATCCACAGTATATATATATACAACTTTTTGCTATTTTTAGGTGAAAATTGAACTTAAGTTTTTGATATGTGTTGTATTTTTTATATTTAATTATTTTTTTATTTTAATATACTATATTTTGTATTTTTGTTAAATATAGGAAGGATGTGGAGTCTCAACAGGGTGAAATTTTCAGGGCAAAGGGAGGTAATACCCCTGTTTAACTCCTCATAATTGAAATGTCCTCAGTGTTAGGGAATATAACTTTTTTTTACTTTACTTTGTACAAGTTCTCCTTAAATATCAGATGTATACTAGCTAAAATTGACTATTATTTAGAGTTCTGTAAATAAAAAAAAATGTAAGCAGAGTTCTAGATAATAGATTTTGAGGGTGGGAGAAATCATGGGTCACTACAATTGATTAGGTGAAATTTTCAAAAAATGGTGATTTGTTAAAAGTGCATCTGATATTTTTTTTTATATATTATTTTATTTCTATAAGCAAATGAACAATAAGATAATGAGGGCATGAACCACCTTGGCAACCAGGAGACAGCTCTAAGGAAGATGGTCAATTAAATCTTCAACAAGTCTGAGGCCTTACCATGAAAAATCTGTGGTGAGTTCAAATGTTCTACAAAATTTATGTTTGATTTTGAGGATATCTATGTCAGTGCATAACTGTTTTTATAACACAACTGTAATCATTTGTATCTATTTTCTACCTTTGGTATCAAGTTTACATATTGAAGATGATGATATATAACAAATTTATAAGAAATAAATCAGAGCATAATTTTGTTAGATTTCTTAGGCATAGATTGATCTTTAAAACAATTATATTATTTATTTCAGGTTGTTGAAATTACAATATTTTCATGGTGTTGGGAGTAAGACTTGGATATCAGATATGTTAACATGTTGGTAGGTATTCAAGCTTTTTTTTAATAATTTTAATAGTATTTGACAATCAATTTTTCAAATGTTTTAAATACTATACAATATGATGAAATACAAGTATATTTTTCTTTTGCAAATTTAAAACCATTAGTTTGATTCTGAATACCAAATATTTTTTCGCAAAATTTTTGTTTTTATCCTAGTACTTTTTTTTTAAAATTTATTATTTATTATTTTTTAAAAGTTGAGAATAACTGACCAACTTTGTATTACAGATTAGCATCACAGCATTTCCATGGGGTTACTTGCTGGGATAGTAATAAGAGCTGTGTTAAGGTGAGAATTCATTCATCAACATACAATTTAAATTTATTTATGTTATCTAATAGTGAATGCCCCTAGATATCTATCCAAAATATACTTCAATGTAAAATAATGTACCTTTACTTTAGAAGTGTATCCATATTCAGTGATTTTTTTTTGTCTTGCTTGTCATTTGATTGATATATGTAACCTATCAGCAGGTACCGAATAAGAGAGATGAAATGGGAGATAATCTTACATTTTATTGTTAGGATCAAACCAGAGCTATCATAAAAAAGATGTATGATAACTGCTTTTCATTTAAGAAATGAATGCTTCTTTTTGTAATATTATTTGGGTGTAAATGTGTTGACCGAAGCACATTTTGTATAACACGCTTCCACGCTTCATTCTAAAAATGTGCACGATCAACACTTTTACACCCCAATAGAATTACAAAAAGAAGCATTCATTTCTTATAATTACATTTTTATGCTAATAAGACCCCAAAAAAAAGTTTTATCAATTGAAGGCCGTACTTTGACCTATAATGGTTTACTTTTACAAATTGTGACTTGGATGGAGAGTTGTCTCATTGGCACTCATACCACATCTTCTTATATCTAATTATCAAGTTTTTCTTTTATTTACCTGTGCACTTTTTTGTGGTAGCACATGTCATCAGGAATGTAACATTTCATTTTGATATGAAGGTTAAATTTTTAATGATGCGTGATTGTTGTTAGCCAATCAAACTAACGGATTCTCATGAAACATACATGTAATGTAATTATTCAGTCTTGAATTTTTGGTTACAAATTTCAAAGAATTTATTCCTATATTTTGTCATGAAAATATTTTTTTGGGTAAGCGTCAATAAATAAACCAAACAACAAAATAGACATTAATTTTGTGTGTTTATTATGTGAGTACTTGTATATGGATGGTAGAGTTTATCAATTTATCAGCAGTTTCTGCATTTGTTAATTTCAAATTATTGTTCAGGTATTTGAGGTCAGTTGTAGTGAAGTCCCTAAATTTAACTTTGGTCTATTGATATTTTTTTTTACAATAGCTGCACATTTTTAATAATATATATTTTGAAGTAATCAATAAATATAAGTGGCAAATAAAGAGTTTTTACATACACAGATATATGTGTTTTTAATTCAAAAATTGCCTTTTAAATTTTATCATATACCCTTAAGATTATTTTAATATTATGAATTAACAATTAATACAACTTTATTTCATTTCAGTTGAAAGTGTTACTGTTGCTGCCTTGTATGGTAAAATCCTCTGACAATAATCCTACAAACCATAGGATGAACTGTTGCTATCTTTTTGAATAGAATCCTTAGACAGTAGTGTTGTAAGCAGAAGAATGAATTGTTAATACATTTTGTTTTTATTGCTGTATTGAGTAATCCAAGTTTTAAATATTTTTTATTATTTTTACTTGTATTCGATTATTGTTTTGTGATTGATGAAAAATTTAACTGTGAAATTATTGTTATTTGAGGGGTCCCAAAGGTATATCATATGGTTTCACAAAGTACCCATAAGACTTACATCAGTTTACATATATTTTTTAAGTTATGTATGTGTTAGTCTTACAACTGCTTTGTGAAATGAATTTTGCCTGTTACAAACCAATAAAGTAGGACTTTGATGGCCAAACACTAAAGAGAATATAAAACAAATCCCCTGTTAAACACTTATAGTACTGAGTTTTTGACTCCAAATAAAAAAAATTGGCTATTTGGTTGGGTTTGACTCCACTTTCTGTACATTTATGCAAATAAATGGCTGTCAGTTTTATTTATTGGTTTTGTTTATATTTTATAACTGCATCATTCAGCATCTGAGGCCATTCAAGTGAAAATAATTACACAGTTTTTGTAGTTTGTTTTATTTTTTCATTTTTATGCGATTGTTTTTTTTATTTTTCTCATACATCATAATTTATATTTTGAGGAATTTTTTAAGGTTTGTCTTTTGAGGATTGTACTCAACTTCTTAAGAATCATTTACTCCACCCAAGATTACTCAGGAACCTGTAAAACTATTTTTCCCTTGATTTTGATGGATGGCTGTTTAATGTCCAGTGGCTAATTAAAGATATAGGATGAGAACAGATTAATGTGATATGAATTTAGACCCTACTTTGTACTAGATCAGCTTGCTGAGCTACATTTTTCATGTGCTAGTTCACAATGTAACAGTCCTTAGGAAGACATTTCACCCTATCTGGACACATCATTATGTCTATGAGCTGAAGAATCTTTGCTATTACTCCTAAATGCAGCATGATTTGTAGAGGAGAATCAAATACCAATATTCAATTCTTTGGTTTGACCCAGCTTGGGATCCCTTCTGCCCTCGAGGCTAGCATGAAATGGGCTGTTGGAGAAGATTTGTCTGTCTGTTTGTTCATCATCATCTCTAATCCACAGCTTATATACTATTGGTAGATTTTCATTGAAACTTTCAGATTATCTCCGTAACTAATGGCAGTGTGTATTTTATTTTATCATAATAAAATTTTGGGTTCCCAATTGAAAAGAATGGACCTTCTTAATATTTTTATTAACTTGGGAAGCATCTCATACAACAATTTCATCATGTGAAGGAAAGGTTGGTTTGAATTTTTTTTATTGTTTTTATTCTGCTTTTAATCTTGTTTTTAGTAGTTGGATCTCATTATGACAACATTTTCATAACATTAACAAGGATTCTCAATATATTATATTTTAAGACACTAGTATATTACCACAGTGGCTTATGAGTAAATTTTATAAGGTTTTGCTATAACAAGATTTGTGTTTTATCTGGTTTTATATGATTTTAGTGGTTTTTAGATGATTTTATATGTTTTTATTGTCAAATCTTGTTTTACCAAGCCTTAATATGATTGAGTTTGTGCCTTTGTGGGGGAAGTTAATAGATTTTGCTTTTACATGCAATACAAAATATTTATTAACATAGTGAGATCTGACAGTTTTTTATGCTTTTAACTCTTTCTTAAATTCAAAAATTTTCTATTTTATCCTTTAAGTATTGATGCAGTGCTTGAAGATTGACCAAATTACAAGATGTATGGATGCAAGTTCAGAATCTACTCTAACTAAATCTATTTCATATCAGCTGAACCAGCCTATCCTTCAATATGAGTAATACAATGTAGGAAATGGAAAAATCCATTCTTTGATTGGAGAACCATTAGAAGAGAAAAAAATGGTACACAATGTCAACAGATGCTGAAGATTATTTGAAAGTTGAGGAAAAGTCCATTTAATCCTTTAATTGTGGGTTAAAGTTGTAGATGAATGAGCAAACCGATGATACATTTGTTCACTATAGCACATTCCCTAATGTTTAATCTGACTATGAAGTAACAATTGCATACCGGTTATCTCCCTCCTTGGGGAAAAAGTACTGGTTCCCTAAAATGAAAAAAAAAAAAAAAAAAAAAAATTTGCTTAGAAATTGGGTGGAAGTAAAGAACTTTAGATTATAAAACAGCTTGGGGTTAAAAATGTGGAGTGAAAGGCAGTTAAATATTTCCTTCGTGATCTAATCATTTTTGCACAGATCAAGATATTTAGATAATTTTGATAACCCAGTAAATAAGTTGAGTAATTCTCAAAAAAACAATTTGATTTATGTATTTTTTAATATTTTTATATTGTAGTTTTACCATAGTTTTCCTTTGTATAAGAATTGTAATGTTTTTGAATGTCCTTTTTAAAAGTTGAGACAAACTGAGGATTCTATTTTTTAATGGAATTCTATTATTTATTTTATAAGTTTGGCATTAAGTAATGGAAAGCCTCAAGTTTATATATAGTAAGCAAAAAAATAGTCACTTTAAAAAACCAATGATAACAAAATTTCATACATGTGTCTCAAAACAACCATGATTTTCTAAAACAACCAGTCTTAGAACTGGTTTCCATGAAATCATTAAGAATCCTCAGTACTGTCATTTATTTTGTATCGTAATATTTTGCTAATGATACCAAACCCATGATGCAGATCCTTTTCCTCCTTTTTATTGTAAAGATAATGTAAAAAGTGGTCAAAAGCATATCACTAGTTACAATTTGTTTGATACACAAGTGATGGAGCAGATTGTGTTTGGTTTCATTTTGGGTATTTTGTATCATGATGCATGATGATAATATAAATAAAATTGGTAAATAAAATTTATTTGAGAAAACCCATCTTATATTATATTTGAGTCTAGCTGACCATTGAAGGAGGAAGAGGTTTCTGTGGTCTAGGGTATGACACAAATGATTTATATTTCCATCACTTGGTGTCTTATCATCATCATGTTTTTAAATAGTCATGAAACTTCTTGGCAAGTTTGAACAAGGAAATGAGGCATTACCTTACAGAACTGTTCATTGGACTTGCTGATTACCTGATTGGTTGCCAATGCTTTAAGTAGATCATGAATGCTAAAATGATCTTAATTGTCTTGTCTGTCACATGCAAAACATTGGGATACTTATCTCGCATGGGAAGCATCTGTATAAAACTTAATTATCCAGGAAGAAGAACTGAATAATCCATATTTGGTATGCAGATGCCGTGGTCTGAGGTTTTCACCTGGCATATCACCATTGTCTTGACTGCATTTTTAAGGATCAATAACCACTTAAAAACGTATAGTTTTTGTCGAGTCTGCGACTTTTGTCGCAGAAATCTCGACATAGGGATAGTGATCCGGCGGCGGCGGCGTTAGCTAACTTCTTAAAAGCTTTATATTTTAGAAGCTAGAAGACTTGGCTGCTTCATACTTTGTGTATAGATGCCTTATGTTACGAAGTTTCTGTCTGTCATATGTCCATTGTCCTTGACCTCATTTTCATGGTTTAGTGACTACTTGAAAAAAAAGTCAACATTTTTTGTAATGTTAATTTCTTTCTTATTATGAGTAATAGGATAACTATATTTAGTATGTGCGTACCTTGCAAGGTCCTCATGCCCGTCAGACAATTTCCATTTGACCTCGACCTCATTTCATGGATCAGTGAACAAGGTTAAGTTTTCGTGGTCAAGTCCATATATCAGATACTATAAGTAATAGGTCTACTATATTTGGTATATGGAATGATTGTAAGGTGTACATGTCCAACTGGTAGGTGTCATCTGACCTTGACCTCATTTTCATGGTTCAGTGGTCAAAGTTAAGTTTTTGAGTTTTGGTCTTTTTATCTAATACTATATGTAAATAGGTCAACTATAAATGGTGGATGGAAATATCTTATGATGTACATGTCAGTCTCACAGATTTTATTTGACCTTGACCTCATTTTTACGGTTCATTTCTCTGTGTTAAGTTTTTGTGTTTTGGTCTGTTTTTCTTCAACTATAAGCAGTAGATCAACTATATTTGATGTATGGAAGGATTGTAAGGTGTATATGTCTGTCTGGCAGGTATCGACTGACCTTGACCTCATTTTCATGGTTCATTGGTCAATGTTAAGTTTTCATGGTTAAGTTTGTTTCTTAGATACTATAAGCAATAGGTCAACTATATTTAATGCCTGAATTGATTGTAAGGTGTACGTGTCTGTCTGGCATGGTTCATCTGACCTTGACCTCATTTTCATGGTTCATTGGTCAATGTTAAGTTTTCTTGTTTAAGACTGTTTCTTAGAAACAATAAGCAATAGGTCAACTATGTTTGGTTTATTGAATGATTGTAAGGTGTACATGTATTTCTCGTTTGGTTTATCTGACCTTGACCTCATTTTCTTGGATCATGTTAAGTTTTTGTGTTACTTGTAGTAAAGCTTTGTATTTAGGACTATCAACATAAAATCAATGGTTAGTAAAGAAGGCGAGACATTTCAGCGTGTGCACTCTTGTTAATGACATGAATTTCGAGTTTTTATGTGTAATAAGGACAATTATATTTGGTATATAGATTTTTCCTGAACTAGTTCATAGAGTGATTCATATGTTCAATAGATAGAAAGAATGTAGTGTATACACCATAAGGCTTTTAACAATGAGCAAAACCCATACCACACAGGAAGCCATAAAAGGTCTTAACAGGGTTCATCTTGCCTTGACCTAATTTACATGTTTTTTTTGTTGACATTTAATTCTCAATATTAGGTCTGTTTCTCAGTAATAAATCAAATATATTTGGCGTTGAAAATGATAGTAAATTGAACATGTGAGCTTTTGCCATCACTTGGTGTCCTTTGTCATTTTCCATAGTCATAATTTTAATTTAAATGTCCACTGAAACTACTGGGCCAAATGTTACCAAACTTAAACTGAATGTTCCTTAGGGTATCTAGTTTAAAAACTTATCAAGGGATTCGATCCATCTACAAATATGGTTGCTGTTGCTAAATATGAGAAATGAGGATAAAATGCAGTTTTGGCTCATGTCTCAAAAACTAGAGCAGTTAAAGCAAATTTGATATAAGTAAAAATAATTAGCAGATCAAGATCTATCTCCTGCAGACTCTTCATAACAATTGGTCAACCAATTTTGAGTTATTGCTCCTGATATGCCAAGTGTTTTGAAAATCTTGCTGTTTTTAGCTCACTTGGCCAAGTGACCTTCCTCATCACTTGGCGTCCATCGTCTGTTGTCGTCCGTCTTCATCGTTATTTTTTACAAAAATCTTCTCCTCTGAAACTACTGGGCCAAATTAAACCAAATTTGGCCTAAATCATCCTTAGGGTATCTAGTTTAAAAATTATATCTGATGAACCCGCCCATCAACCAAGATGGCCGCCATGGCTAAAAATAGAACATGGGGTTAAAATACAGTTTTTGGCTTATATCTCTGAAACGAGCATTTAGAGCAAATCTGACAGGTAAAAATGTTCATCAGGTCAAGATCTATCTGCCCTGAAATTTTCATACACATCAGACAACTTGTTGTTGGGTTGCTGCCCTTGAATTGGTAATTTTAAGGAAATTTTGCAGTTTTTGGTTATTATCTTGAATATTATAATAGATAGAGATAAACTGTGAAGAGCAAAATTGTTCAGCAAAGTAAGATCTACAAATAAGTCAAATGACCCCATAAGGATTTATTGCCCTTTAAAGTCAATTTTTCACAATTTTTTGTCTTTTAATCATCTCCTCTTAATCTACTTGGCCAAATGGAATTAAACTTAGCCACAATTATTATTAGAGTATCTTGATTGAAAAATTGCCTTACAACCAACATGGTCCCCATTAGTAAAAATAGAACATAGGGGTTTACTATAGAAGTCTATGGGAAAAATGTGAAAAAACAATTTCAAATGGTCACAACCTGAAAACTTATTTAAATAATGATAAGGGGTCTTCAGTATCTATTAACCTTATTTTACATGATTTCCAAAACCATAGTAGATACAGGTGAGCAACACAGGCTCTTGAGAGCCTCTAGTTGATTATTATCTTGAAAGCTTTAACAGATAAAAAGAAATTTGAACAGAAAAAAATGACCAGAACAGTAAGATTTACAAATAATTACTTGGCAAATGACTCCTTATAGGAGAGAATCTTTCAGTAATAAAAGGTGTGATACCACCAAATCATAGTACGTCACATCAGATTTCATAAGAAAAAGGGTTGAAAAAAATATTCCCTTGAATTTAACTGTTGTAGGAAATTAATCCTACATTTCATTGCAGTAAAAAAAATCTGAGTCGTAAACATATATCTCGTGTGTTTCAAAACACCTTTCTTTTTTCATTTGGTGTTTCTATAAAATATTTTGAAAACGAGTTGGCATGGTTACTAAAAATTGAAAAAAGGAAGAAAAGGGGTTAACTTCCAGTGATGGTTATTATCTTATATGCAGTGAAATGTTATGTGAAATTTTCACTGTAGTACTGGAGAGGATAAAACTTTACTCATACAAAGTAGTGCTTTATTTGAAATAAAGATAAATTCTGCAAATTTTTTGAAAAATGCCAATTTCTCAATGACTAATAGGGGAAAATCAAAGGTGGTATTACTCCTAAATGGGAAGCTGCACATGCACCGTTGACCTGTACATGTATGTACTCTTATTAGTTAAAATTTCATGCTATTTCAGTGAACTGATGCAAAAATGAAACAATCTGAGTGGATTGAGTCTCAAAAACAGATTTTAAGAGAAAATTGCCTTGAAATAGGGCTCTACCATGAATATAAATAGGCAGAGCAAGCCATACTCAAGTGTTTTTCTCCTAATTTCCTATATTTTGCTATTAAAGAAAACTTTTTCCTAAGTAATACTTTAAGAAATATACAGTTATAAGTAAATAGAATAATTTTGAAGCAGTAACAACAAATTATTTACTAAAAGGGAAGCATTTTATGTTACCCCAAAATTTTGATTTATTAGCCTAAAAAGTTGAAATTTTGATAAAATGAGAGGAATAAATGGACCAAAAGGGACCTTATAATGAAGATAAAGTGGTCCATTAGTGGTATTTATCATCTTAGAGTCATCTTTTGTATCATATTTAACTGTTTGTATGCAGATGAGATGAATATTTGATAATTTATTGGTCCACACTATATTCTATCATGATGCAGCATGATTTGGATTTTTCGAAGAAATTTTGCTCAAATGGCTGTAAATGTCGTCTTACATTATACTAGATTTCTTTCAGACTATTGAACTGATTATGACAAGACTTGACAGTAATACTTGAAATAACCAGTATTACAAAGGAAAAATATCACATTCAGTTTATTCAACAAAAAAAAGTCTTCTCTAAAATCGTTCAACAAAATATGATCTACAATAAGTTAACAATGACAAATCGTCAATTGACCTCTTGTAGGAGTTATTTCCTTTAAAAGACTAATTTTACTATTATTTTTTTTGCAGAAACTATAATAGATATTAAAAAGAAATTGTTAAAGCAAAAGTGTTCAAGAAAAATAAAATCTTCAAATTGTCAATAGACTGCTTATAGGAGTTATTGCCCTTGAAAGATGGTTTACTCATTTTTAATTTTTTTTTTAGAGAAACCATTATAGATAGAGAGAAACTGTTAATTGCAAAGATGTGAGGTCAATAAGATCTACAAATAAGTCAATATGGCTGAAATCATCTTTACTCATTTTATGATTTTTTTTTTTGCAAAAACAAAGAGAGCATCAATTTATTTCAGAATTTTCACAAAATGAGAACTACAAATAAGGCCTGTAAAAGATGAGTTTTTTTGCAGTTTTTGCACATACATTTTTTGGACTAT